AGAGAGAGAGAGAGAGAGAGAGAGAGAGAGAGAGAGAGAGAGAGAGAGAGAGCCCGTGAGAGAGAGAGAGAGAGAGAGAGAGGCCGAGGGAAAGAAACGTATAATAGAACCAGAGAGGGCGATTTGTTTTGATGCTTCGCCGTGCAACGCCTTCCGTTGGGATTTGGATGGACCCGCCTAAACCATTTTCTCCCCTTATATATTTTAGTTTCAATTTTATTTTTCTAAAATATTTTGCCAATTTTGGTTATAACAAAGACAATTTTTTTTTTTTTTTTTATTTGAACTGAAAAAAATTTGCTTGTTCAGTTTGATTACGTGAATAATTTTTTTAGCTCAACGGTTCGAACTGAACTTATAATTGTTTTTGAACTGAACTTATAATTGTTTGGTTGTACCGAATGCTCATAGGGGAAAGTTGATTCATGGGTCTAAAATCTAGAGGCTTATAACTCTTTGGTTGCATTGAATGTTCAGACGGGAAAGTTGCTTATAACTCTTTGGTTGTACCGAATGTTCCGACGGGAAAGTTGATTCATGGGTCTAGAATCTAGAGACTTATTACTTTTTTGTTGTACCGAATGCTCAGACGGGAAAGTTGATTCATGAATCTAGAATCTAGAGGCTACTATGTGAAATCTCCTCTTTCTTGTCCACTCGAGGGTGCAGACACCTATGTGGATTATAGGTAACGGTTACAAAAATGGAGGGGATGTTCGGTTATGTTCAAATTGACTCTTTATTTTACTTAAAAATTAAAAAAAAAAAAAAAGATTATATCCTAAGTTTCAAATGAGTATTATTAATATGGAACAAAAAAGCTAAACTTAATCGATTTAACCATTTTACGTTAGAGGATCATTGAAGATGCAATGATGACCATATCCTTCAAGTAAATTTAATGCAAATTATAATTTGATATATACATCTCAATCATTACAAAGTCGTTAAACATGATCTTCAATTCAAACGATACAATACTCAAAGATTATAAATTTGAATCTCTATGTATAGCAATAGATATTACGGGTTATGTGCACCATGATCAATCCAATGAGCTCCATCCATAATCACAAAATGAGTTGAAATAGAATCAAAACCAAAAGAAAGACATATCTAATATATCACGATCTTTCCATCTTCAAATGAAGATAAATGATCTTCATCTACGTAAGAATCATAAATGCCATGCTTTGATCTTCATCTTTATAGTTGTAAAGAACGTTTGTACATTTTAAAACTGTTTCATTCAAGTAGGAATGATTCTACGAGCACATATTGAAACCATTTTAGATCCTTCAGAGATACAAAGCAAATCAATTCAATTGAACTAGACAGATCAAAATTAGATATAAAAAGTCACATACAAAAACCCAAGTCCACCGCTAACAAATATTTGTCCTTTTGAGCTTTCTCTTTCGAGCTTCCCCTAAAGGTTTTTAAAACTCGTCTTCTAGATAGAGGTTTTCACACTCTTATAAAGAATGTTTCATTCTCCTCCCTAACCGATGTGGGATCTAACATATCGAGTGTAAAACATAGTCAAACCCAATCGTGAGCCACAAGACAGGTGAAGTAAAAAGCAGGAGAATCAACAAAGCATTGAGGGGGAAAAACAGTATCAGTTGCTGATAATGAATAGAAACTGCCATTTTCTTCCCACATTCAAAAGAAGAGCGGCCATGGCAAATGCTAATCAGCATCATCTAACTCTCACAGGAAGAAGATGAAGCTAGATGATGAACAGAACTATATAACATCTAGCTAAAGGCACAAACAAAAGAGCAGAGCTACATCATTATTAATAGGTGTGTTATATAAGCTTACAACAAAAGTCGAAAATTTGGGCATCCACTAGAGCTCGATTCATACTGCTGCACCAACAAGACTAAAAACCGAATGCCCCGAGTTGTTACATATTCTGACGTGTCTGTCATTTCATGATTTCATCTGGGTATCAAAGATGACAATAAGACATGGTGATGAAACAAAACAAACATGAACAAACATCGCTGCTAGACTCGACTAGTTTCAATGTTCACACGACGACGACCGTATTATAATAATTCAGTGGCAAGAACCCCAGTCCTTGCATTATGCCCATGGCCCCTAACCTACCCACCCACCCAAGGCAACTTGAAAAGAACAAAGCAAGAGGAAACAGGCAAGAAATCAGTCTCAAACAGCAAACTAAGAGTTTAGAGTTCTAACCTTATTTCAAAGAGCACGAGTCAGGTATCCATAACTCAAATACACCTTCTGAGAAAGCATTAACAGAAGAAGCCTCTACATTTTGAAGACCCACATAGGCAATTGATCTTCCTTCCATCAGCACTTTCAGGTGGGACTATTCCATAATCGAACGTCAACTCCATCATGGGAGGTACATGCCTGATTGCATGAAAGGCAATATGGACATCATGCTCGCCTTTATTTTCCCGAATAATTGGCCTCCAGTATACGTTTGGAGAGCAACTATGGTTCATAAAACGAGCAACATTGCCCACATTTTTTGCACTAATAACTAAGGGAAATGGGAGCCTAGGAGGCCCATCGGAATCACCAGATATAACTTCAAGGTTCGGATATGAACGTGTGGCATCGAAGATATAACCATCTTCATTGTCCCGTGCAGAGTCCTTTTCCTTTGAACTATCGATGACTTCCCCAGCATATTGGCAAATAAATGCTCCAGCACGAATCGGATCCCACGACCTTAGTCCCCAGCCTTTACCTTTAGTTCTGAATACCTCCAGGCGGAATTTAAGGCCTCCTTGGGACACACGATTCCTGCAATTGGGAGGGCATTGACATGAGGGTCCACATTCATAAATCATGGATTGTTGACTTGCAAGAACCCCATTTGAACCATAGGGAAGATATCCACCATTTTTCTGTATGCAAAGGCAATTGAGATTGCCTGGAAGGCATCCACCAACACAGTTACAACCAGCTGAAGGTTCCATCGAGTACACTGGTTTTAAATATTTGAGACCAGCATCATATGTGAAATACGCAGGGCCCTTCTCGTCATCAACATCATTTACAAGTGAAACGGGTAAACTTTCTGCGCCAGAAGCCAGATCTGGTATTATAACCCCAACTCGAGAAGCATTCCCATCCTTCCATTGTTGTACTAATTTCCAAGTCAAAAATGCTTCCCGCTGTCCAGGTAATCGGACCAATTTGTATTTAAATACATTGCAGCCAGATTTCCCTTTCTCTACCCAAGATTCCTGGATTTTATAAAGACCATCATAAACATAGATCTTCCCTGTTGGGTTACTAAAGTCTTTTACCCCTCGAATTACTCTGACTTCATTTCCACGATGCAAGCTCTTCTCTAGAGCAAGATTACCCCTTTCGAGCTTTTGATCTGTTGATTCCTTATCCTTTCTGTTCACTCCACCCTGACCACTGTAGATTAACACATCTGCATCATTAGTATCATCCTCGTATCCACCAGACGAGACAATGCTTACTGCAACTGGTTCTTCATCTTGACTGACCTTTAAACCCATGTAATCAATCCCAGCCATCGATGGAGCATGCAACCCGACCAGGCACAATTCCATCCTGAAAAAGAAGATATCACCAACTTCCACACCAGGAACAGTTCCAATCCTTTTGTTGATATTTGACCTAATCCCTTTGGTCATCAGAAATGCACCTGTTTTTAGATCTGGACGCCTTATAATTCCAGGCGTTGGTTCCTTAGACTCTTCAACTTGTGAGATCCTTCTCCTTAGCAGTTCATATACCATGAGTACACTAGAAACTGCTTCGATGCTACCATGAGATTGTTGATTAGAATCTAACACTGAAAGATTGTACGACGAAACCATATCATTAAGCATTGCATCAATATCGATATCTGATGTAAAATTAATATCCTGACCATTCCTTGCCTTCTTCTTCGCCTTCTTCTTCCTTCCCGCTTTACTTGAATCTTCTCTATCATTTATACCCATGCCAAAATACTGAGAATCATCATTTTGACTATCACTATACCCTTGTAACTGGCCACGACTTCTAGCGTTTTTTCTAGAGCCAGTATTCTGTGTTGAAGTACCCTCAGTTGGTGTCCTGAATGACGAAATTGGAACTGCGGTTGATATAGGACTATTTAGGCCAAAAGGTGCACTAGAATTCGGTGTTCCACCAGGTGTCTGTTGATTTTGTTCATTTGGTGAAAAGAAGAAGGGATAGAATGGAGCAACCCCAGGTGGAAAGGGACCAGAAGGACCAGTACACACAAATGGGGCAGCACCTTGAGGATTTGAAAAAGACGACACGTTTTGTGCTGATGGGAAGACTGGAACTAGTTGACGCAACGGTTTTACATTCAATACCTTAGATTTGTCTAATGACCCAGCGACGGGAACGGAATCCTGATCCAGATGTTGTTCCATTGAAGCCTTCTCACACTACAGAAACAAAATCTTACAAATAGAAGCTTCTACAGTAAAACTCTCTGTACATTATTTCCAAAACTACAAACTAAAACGAACAACTCCCATCAAAAGTTTACGGGCTATCGTTCTCCCAAAATATTATCCCAATGG